TGTAGTAAAGAAAAAAAAAGAGATGCACCGAATAACGTTGCTCAGTCAAATGCACAGTGTTTGTACTGTAGTTTGCAAGTTCATCTGGAAAACGTTGAGAAAAACAAGTCTTTTGATGTGAACTCAATTACTTGTAAGGAAAAATGTACTTGATCTGAAATGTAAAGTGTAGTCCTATTACAAGAGAAGGTTTAGGATAGACCTTACTAAATAGATGGGTCTTTACATAATTAATTATGCACAGTATTGGGAGTTTTTTTTGGGGGGGGGGGATTGTAAATGGATAGTGGATAAAATGGGTCTAAAATATTACAGTTAAAAATTGCTGAATTCTTGGTTTTTAACGGAGTTTGTTGCACTGGTGAACAAGAAAACAGTTTAGACATGATCTAGAAATTAGTTTCACATTCCAAAAATGTGCGGAAGGGAAAAGTTAGGGACTTTTTTTAATGAGAATTCCTGTTCTCTTATGGTTAATTTACAACTACACTGATAAACAGCACTAGGAAATAGAAGCTTTACCTCTTGTTTAAAACAGGAGAGAGGTCTTAAGAATATGATCTCTTCCCCAGGGGAATTTATGACCTCATGGAACCCTTCTTTGGGCTCTCCTAGGAAAGGGAGGGTGTGTGTGTGTGTGTGCGCGCAAAACAGCTGATCTCTGTTGGACAAGACTGCAATTTTTTCCAGCACATGTAACTTGTGTAGGTTTATAGTTCTCTATTTAAGAATAGTTTTTACAATTCAGCGACTTGCTTGGTTCACTTTTATGAAACTTGCTTCTTTATAACTGATAAGAGGTATAGTTTAAACATCTACAATTTACAGATGCAATATAATCAATCCCTTCTAAGTTTGTTTGCCCTACTGTATCTTATAGCAGTGCTTTATCTAGCTATATATTCTGCCTTAATCAGTACTGTCTGTGTGCTATCTGGCAAGACAAACATCATTCACTACAGCCATGCTTTCAATTAGCATTCACTCACAGCAACTTCAGTATTAATGCTCACTAACAAATCTCAGCAGATTACTTCAACAAGGTGAACTGCTATTACATGCAAAAGGCTGAAATACACACTTCCCTTCACTAGGCTTCATATTTACACACCTAATCTGAATTGGTCATAAAATTTGAGCTCCGAAATGATTTGATTTTTGGTCTCCAATAAGGCATTATACAAAGTATGGAAAACTTAATTTAGTGACATTAAAAGGAGGACTATAGCTATAGTCCTATAATGACAATTCTGAGAAGATTTTTTTTTAATAAAACAAAAGAATTAATCTACTAGAGTTAACAAAACTCTAGTAATCTGATACAGACCCCAGTTCATGCTTCACTAGCAGTGTAGTGAATTGATTAATTCCATGGCCAAAATACTGAATTCTGTGGTATACTGGAAAATTCTAGATTCCTGGGTGCAGAATTATATAGCCCACAGTTCCTTGATTGAGCTGACTGTGGCAGTTAGAGCGATCACTTCAGGATGCCTGCAGATTCAGGCAGGCAGCACCGTCAGGTCATGCTTGATTCATGTTTTCAAGGTGATCATTGCAACTCTATTACTTTGGGACAGAACTTACCATGCTGTTCCAGAGCAGACACCTGTGGTGAGCAACAAGCTAAGGTGGAGTGTGGGGGGGTAGAACTCCACATGATAATCAGTAATGTATTGTTCATATAGCTCTAGAATGGCTAAAAATAGAAACTTCAGACATGGTTTATTGATCTATTAACATTTAATAATCAATCCAAAGAGCATGATGCTCATGCATCTGAGTGACTGCTCTCTGCACAATACTTACAACTCAAATTGTAACGTACAATTTATGTTATTTGTATTGTCTTCCTAAAGGAATAATCCACATCGAGACAGCCCCTTTCCATCGAGGTAGGGATTCCATTCTACCCAGGAACCTAGCCAAGAAAGTTTTTGGGGCCTATCATCTAATTTTTACCAGCCACCAACCCAAAGCCCACTGTCACCTACAAAAAGCCAGGACAATCACGAAACCTCCCCTATGAGTGTCAATAATCTCCCATCCAGGTCCTCTGTGTACCAACCAAGCATGTTTAACTACGAGCGTCCAAAACATTTTATCCAGTCTCAGAATACGTGTCAAGGGAAACTGCAGCCTCCGGGACCCAAGACATCTGCATTTTCAAGCAGTCAGACCAAACAGTCATCAATTCTAATCCAGCCTCGTAACTCTAGCGAGCAGAAGTTTTCTTCATCTTCATCGCTGAGCTCCCCAATCTTTCTCTCCTCGTCTTCCCATAGCTCCCATAAGGAATCTGCATTTCCCATCACACCTGCATCTGCACCGTCTCCTGCTGCCTCCTCATCTGGGCAAAGGCTTTCATCCATGCATAACCAGTCCCCTGCAGCATTCCTCTGCTCAGTGTTGCCCTCGCAGTCTGATTATAATAGCCAAGCTCCTTCTACTGTGGAATCTAAGTAAGTATGTCCAGGCTTCTAACTTTCCCATGCTTTGAATTGGTTGTGTGCGGGTTTTGTGCCGCTCCAAGTTTTGACCAAGCCATGTCCATATATTGGGTGAAATCCTGGTCCCAAGGAAGCCAATGACTAAACTCCCATTGGCTCCTAATCCTACTTGCTTTACTCACACAGGCATGGGCCCATGGTGTCTGGTTGGGAGAAGTATTTGTAAATTAGAAACTAAACTGCAAATTCTTTCCATACTCTTGTTGTAACAAATGAAAGCACAGTGGAGGAGTAAGTCTACACTTAAAATGCTGCATCAGCGAAGCTGCGTCGCCGTAGCACTTTAGTGAATATGCTCTAAGCTCATGGGAGAGAGCTCTCCTGTCAGTGCAGTTAATCCACTGCCCTGAGAGACGTAGCTGTGTCAGCGAGGTCTACACGGGGTGTGGGAGGGAGGTTGGTATAACTATGTTGTTAAGGGGTGTGGATTTTTCACACCCCGAGCGATGTAGTTATACAGATCTAGGTCTGTAACGTAGACCAGACTGGTGATGAGCAGTCTACTTTGTTGTTATGGTGGAAACCAATTCCATAAGGGCAGCCAAAGCAAGGGTTGGGCACTCATCTTAAATTGCCTACATTAAATTATTCTCTGATTTCATTCAATTTCAGAAAACAGGAATCCTGTATGAAAAGAGTTCCTTGTGAGAGCGCTCCCATGCGGGAGCTTTAATGTTTCATAGCAAAACACTAAGGTATCCCCTCTCACTTTATGTATCCAGAGATTGAGAAACTGACCCATGGTAACACTTTTCAGGAATCCCATTTCAATGATTCTGAGGTGTAAGTGACTTGAGAGCTTCTCAAAGTTCTATCCCTTGAAACCAAGGACCCGCGTCTCCTCCTTGGTGTGTGTCACACAGATTCAGTGCCATTTTGAGGTCTATGGAAAAACACTCCGTGACCTCACTGGGAGCTCATATGAAGAGCAAGGGAAGAATGTGCCCTAGCAACTGCATTGAGGATAATGGAGGGGAGTGTGTTTTGTTTGCTATTTTGGGCATACAGTTGGATTAAATGCTCGTATTGGTGAAAACTAAAAGGCTACCAGCTTCCTTGTACCACAACTGTGGTGTGATTGATAAAGGGCTGGTAATATTAATTAGGTTAGGTGTCATTCTAACTAGCCCCATACTTCTCCAGAACCGAACTAGAAGTAGTATGTGTGATAATTAGATACATGCCCGTGACAACCACAATTATACAACAGAATACTTTGCAGCTCCACTATGTCATCTGTCTCTGGATCGCTAAATGCTTTACAAATATTAGGTAAATTCAATACCCCATGAGACAGGGGAGTGTTATTATCCCGATAATTTTACAGGTGGGTAAACTGAGGAACACCAAGACTGAGTAACTTGCCAAGGTCATGCAGTTATTTCAAAATAGTCAAGCATCAGGAAGGGATCCGAAATCCTGGTTGCACTTCCCCTGCTCTGACCACTAGGAAGTACTCAGTGGGGGAAGAAGGGCATTTGGACTAGTGTGCACTGTAAATAACCTGTTGGGACTCTTGCTGTTTATGGAACAAACATAATATGAAGGAAACATAGGGGCATGATGGGGTCCAAATGCCCATGTTAGAATATACCCGGCCCTGCTACAACTTCCACTGCTGCTCTGCTTGTATTCTGGCTGCTTCTACAACTAAAGCACCACCAGCGAGCTCACAAAACTATTCCAAGGGATGCTACCCTATTCCTATACACTACCCAAGCCTTCTAGCAAGAAATGACCAGAAAAAGACATTGCCTATGTAAATCATCTCAGCCTTTACCAAAGTCTGATCCTGCAATCCTCACTCATGGGGCATCCTTACCCAAAGGAGGTTGGTAAACCCCACCTCAGTGAAGTTTGCAGGATATGTTCCCAAAAGGGACAGAGACTGCTCTGCGTAGCCTTGGGTACTGTATCCCTGAACCGTAACGTTTTACCCAAGTAATACTACCCTGGGTAGTGAGAAGTCAAACAAAAGGCACAACCACATCTCTGTGTGTGCACACTTGTGATCCTTCGAGTGACAACCAGATGAACTAGATGCGGATTTTTTCCCCAAAACACTTGTCCAGCTGTGGAGTTACCCTACAGAAAGAGTTGTGGTAAAAATGCACCAAGACCACATCCACCATATAGCTAGGTGGAATATAATCATATAGTCCTTCCCACACACACAAACTTGGCCATAACTGACACCATCTCTGAGCCCTCTTATGCAACCCAGACTATGGTTGGGTATCAAACTGTAGCCCAAGAAAAGAATGGCCCAAGTTCCTACTAAGGCCTGGGGAAGGAAGATGTGATGAGTGGAGGGAAGATACCATACTTGTGTGAATTTGTTTTCTCCCCTACCTTTGGAAATATACAAAGTTAGGTTTTTAACCCTTTCTTGGAGTTGATATTTGGGGTTATTTCAGACCCTCCTCCAAAACCCCTGGGAGGGGAACAGAGGGGAACTACATGATGCAAACCTCTGCTTCTTAATCCTTCCTTCAGCGGGAGGTAGGGGGCTCATGGAGAAGTAAACCTGCATGGTCCAAGGATCGATCTTCTCTCAACCCTACAATGTCCTGTCTCTGGTCCCCCAGGGCAGTGGAGTAAAAGCTGCTGAGCGGCCCCTGCACCTGTTAATCCTGCTCTTATCACCACTGACATCCATCCATGGCTGGTGGGCCCCAGGGCAAGCAGAGGAGAATGGTTGCCCTCTCTTCCCTCCATACCTCCCTTCCCCCTCAAAAAAAACCCTTTATCCCCTCTATTACTATTTCTGAGCCATACAACTCCAGCCCCTTGGGAACTCGCAGACGGCCCTCTGCTCCAACTGCAGAGAGGGGTGAGCGTGCAATGACCGGTGTGCCTAATCCTCATCCCTGCTGCGCTGTCTGCCTGCGTCTACCTGCTTTTTGCCCCCCTTCTGCCCAGGTAGACGGAGGGAGCTTTGGGGCCCCTGGCGGCTTTTAAGGGGCAGGAAGGGGATAAAGGCCTTGCTCACGGTGGTTCAGGTGATAAGGGTGACCTATGTATGTCTGGTACTTGTGCTGCCTACCAGGTGACGTGGCCTAGTGCAGGCCCATTTCCCTGAACTCTGTGTCTCAGTAACAATACTTGGCATGTATAGCGGTTTACCTGTCCCAAGCACTTTACAAACTGATTCATAGCCAACAAAGGGCAAATATAAATTTGAATATTTATATATATTCTCTACCTAGATTTTATGCAGTCCTAACTCGTACCTAGGCTAGCTCGAAGGAGTGACTTTCTGTCTGTCTCTTGTCTAAAGTAGTTACACAAAGCCAATGTATACCAAACAAGCTAGCACCAAGCCAACATACAAGTCCTCAGAACGAGAGATACAAGGAACAAAAGAAGCCCTCATTCAAGACCTGGAAAGGAAACTGCGAGGCAAAGACAACCTTCTTCATAATGGAAACCAGGTAAGAGAGAACCTCTTAGTGCAAAGAATCCATTTACTCTGAATTTCATTAGAAGACTTCTAGCAATTCAGAGACTTGTATCCAACTGCTTTAATTAATCACATGTTGGTTTCTGTCTTTGCCAGCCCCTAAAAAGCAACTGTTTGTAGAAAAGGGGCCAGAACTACTTCAGTCATAACTGCAATGGCCACAATCGACCAGAAGCCCCAGGGAACGTTAGCTTTAGAATTTTGCATGGGTGTGTTTATCCTGGTTTACAGCTGTAGTTTATCATTCTAGTCAGTCATGTTTAATTAGTAACACTGATAAGTAAAAGTGACCAATTGCCGTCTGATAAGTGGCTGCTGTCTTGTCACAATCTTCCCTAAAGCCCTTTTTAGAGGGCATCTAACAGCATCCCACAGTGCTTTGTATTAGCTTACTAAAAAGAAACTGAATTGTCTAAAGAAAATTAGTTTGCCAGAACACAAACGTCCGGGTATCTATTTCAAAGGGAAACCATTTTCTGTAAAAAGTAGGGTTACCATATTCAAACATTCAACAACAACAACAACAAAAAGACACTCCACGGGGAGTGTCGGCCCTGCCCACAGTACACCCCCACTCCTCCCACGCTCCATCCCCACTCTGCCCCAGGTCCCACCCCCTCCCTGCTTGGCCCCGCCACCGCACCCGTCCTCCCCCCTTGGCCTGCCGCTGCCTTGCTGCATCCCTCCTCAGTCCCCCACCCACCACTCACCTCCTCCCACATGCC